TCACTGTCGCTATGGGTTTTGACAAGATGTTTGAGCACCCTACATGGGTTCCCTTGTGAATGGTGCAGCCTCTACAATGCCAAAGAAACTCGTCCGAGGATACACAGGTACAATCCCTGAGCCTTTTTAACGCCCTAACTAGGCCGTTTTCCGACCTGATAGCGCCAGATCTGGTATACAATGGGGTCTAGAATTCATCCGGGGAAATCTCAGAGCCATTTTTGTCGTGAACTGTGCTTTAGTGAGAGGCTCCCTATGTAAGTTTGGTGCAACTACATACGAACCAAGTGTTTCATGAAGTAAAGCCCCAGATAGCCAGCTGCATGACTTTTAGCTGGTTGTGTAGATGACAAAGGCGGCAACTAACTTTATCCCGATGTGAAGCTTACTCACAACGCCTATAAGATCTCCCCTAAAGTGCAAAGGTGGAAATGGTACAACAGAGGTGAAACGATGACATATATTGAACAACGAGAATCTCGACAACTTCTGAGGCACAGATGGTGGCACGGGGTAGGCTCAATTCAATGGTTGGTATGTGGGTTATGTACTTCTATGAATAAACCCAATTCCTGTTCGACTATTCGACAATCTTGACGTATTCAGGGCAGCGTAATAATTATATCCAACGTAAGATCGAATCTGATCAAGTCAAGTCAGTTTACTCACGTCACTCTCATATACAAGAGCAACATACTAGCAAAAAAACGAGCGAAGAACGAAGAAGAATAAACCATAACCGACAAATAAGGGCAGTGTTTCGTTGGATGGCTGACTATGGCGAACTGGCCCAGATTAGCCAGTTTATCCGAGGCTAATGGGCATGGCTGAATACGAGGTGCCATTGCTGGGTAGAATTCAGGGAAAAATGGAAGTGTTGCGGGATATTTTGGACCCTAAAGCACTCAAGTGGATCTGAGAAATCCGGTGTGATGAGTCCGGTGCCCGTACAGCAGGGGTTCAAGTTGGAGTCTCGTCCGAGACCGAAGTTTTGTCCATAATTTGTTGAAAGAACGCGATTGGGAAGGGTGTCCGATAGTTTGTTAGAAAATCTTTTCTCAAGAAATAGTACTTTGAGAAGTCACAAAAATTAAGTGAGGCTCAGACGAGATTTCTGCTGTCTGTTTTCAATGCAGAATTTAATAAGAAAAAAAAATGTTCGTCCTTGAACTCGAACTGCAATGTTTGGGTCGTAGTAGTTTGATCAAAATGGCTTTGCACAGCTTGTTAAACAAGTACCTAAACAACTAAGCGTCGGATTGCATTCATTTCTCACTTTGACGCTTTCGGTGTTTATGTACAGATGCTCTTTATGATGACTAGTTCGACGCCATGCTCCACAAACTAGTTATCCTACAAAGCAGGTCTACATGGGTACACCGAAAACATAAAGGAGCAGGATTGCTGTGAGCCAATGAGCAAAACTAAAAGGGATAACGATATACAACGGAAAATGTGTTCGTAGAGGCTGAGTGAGCCTTAGTAGACTATCGAAAGGAAGAATAATCGAGAGCCGTCCTCCGTCTACGAGTGATATATGAATGCCGAAGCCGAGTCTACAGCCGAAGCTGCAATTGAATTACAACTGCGCAGCCAATGTCAACGGTGGCAAAAGGTGAACATTACAGGATATGTTGCGATATTACCAAGTATCACCTGTATCAGAAAAAGAGTGAAGGAATATGACTATCGTGCTGGCGACCGTTCTGGTGTTGGTTTAATGTCCGGTCAATAATCGTCCTGGTCCAACGGTCGCCACAAAGTCCCATGACGCGTTCGACTCACCTGATCTTCGAATCCTTGTCGTAAACAACGACGCTCTGATATCCGATCGCTGGCAAGGCTAGGAACTCCGGGTACCCATCTGCGCTTGCGTGTATTAAAAATTCAGGCATTATCCCTTCAGTAGTGATTTAAATGACACTGACAAGATGGGTGGGCTTGCACTGTCGAAAATATGAGCGCGGAGATGAATGATCTTCATCTTCCTCATTAATTCCTCAATGTTCTTAAATGCTTCCAACGCTACGTGTTTCCTTGCTTCGGAGCTAGCTTGTTTACCATAATGACTTTCTCCACCGAACTACATGTAGCTCGCTTAGTCATTGTGTCATTCCATTTATCGTGACAGGAGCAGTGCATACCAAACGTTTCTTATATACATCGTTCTTAGAAGGTCCAGACGTCTTCAGCAGATTTTCCACGAGTGTTGTCGGAATCGGACAACATTTATTCCGTCCAATCGGTGTTTGGTGTTACAAGGGCCGGTTTTCACTCCCATGTCTTCCTGCTCCGAAAGGCGCAAGAGGACGTCACTAAAAAATTTGAGCGCCATGATAAAGCCGTAGTGAACCCCCTCCTTGTCACCAGACAATGACTTCATTGAAAACCAGTTTGTCTGCCATTCCTGGCAGAACTGTAAGCACGAGTAGTAGACTTCCTTGTAACTCTGTTGATTACTAGCGAGAAATTACTTAGTTCACTGAAAATTTCGAAACTTTTGGCGGATATGTTATGCTCTGAAGCGTCGTAAGGAAGTTACGAGGATAAGGATCATTCATTTTGGGATCCTTTCGAGTAATATTTCAAGGTTAAAATCTATTTGCATGGACATGTGAACGCAGCCTCCAATAATACTTGAAACTTCCTACTCACTTGCTATTCTGATTGTGTAATCTAACTTCCTTTTCAGCAATATTGCCGTCCCTTTGACACCCTTAGCAAAACACAAATATTGTTAACACTCTATAGACATGTAGAAACTGTCACTCACTAGACTCTAACAGATTTGCTTCGCTTTTCAGCCTTCCACCGAAAATGAGAACTCAGAGCAGTTCAAATCAGCAGCTCAAGATGGATCGCTTCCAACTAAGGCGGCTGGGGCTTCTCAGGTAGTGGAGCAAAAGCGACAAATGTCTCCCGAGCAACCAGAAGATCCGAAACCAGCTCGAAATGAGTGAGAACTTAGACAAATGACCCCACGATTGTCATCCATCTTCACTATTTCTTTCCAGACCCCCTGTTCGCGTACCGGCTAGGCAAGGGGCAGCTTCTCGTGCTCCTTCGTTCGTGCCCGTAACGAACGAACCTGAAACAGTAGTCACTCCTACAAAGTGAGTTAAGCTCTTCATTATAAGTCAATGATAACGATCCTTACTGGTTGAAAAGGAGTTATTAGTTCTAGGCAGCTCGCACCAACTCCTCGGACGCCGATGTCTGCTGCTATGTATCGACTCGAGATTGATTCACTCAACATGCTGATGAACCAAGTAGATTGTAGCATCTCATTTGAGACTTTTCACGAAAAGATTCTTGCCTAGGTTCTTGAACAAATGGAGAAAGGGCCAGTCAGCCTGAATCTCGTTGCTAGAATTAAAGCACATCCCATGTACGACGCCAGGCCTATGGTGAAAGAGCTGTTGGAGAGTATCATAGGTTCGTCATCAGCTGATCAGCCTGCAGAATCGTTGAACGGTTCGATTTCAGCAGCACAGCCTGAAAATGTGCAGCGGGAGACGAGCAAACTCGTCCAACAAAGGAGTCAGGTGGGATCAGAGCAGATCAAAACAGACTGATAACTGCGAGCATTTGCTTTTCATCTAACACAATCTGCATGACTTCTCAGTCCCACTATTCTTTAAGGAAGTTGCTAGAAAAAATCAGCAAAGAGCGGCATTCGACATATCAAAAGCAAGCAACGCTTCTAGAAAGTCAGATAAACTTTCTCGGTCAGGATATGGAGAGCGACCGTGGCACAGCGTCGAGGTAAATCCATGTCTGTGCCCTTAACCCCACCCCACTAAGAGTTTGAGTTGTTCCATAACACTACCAAATTCTCGAGTGTAGAATGATCTTTAACCATCCATCAAATTGCAATGAATGTCTTCTCCAATCAGATTGTTTGCCCCTAAGCAATACATTAGACAAACCGCACTAATACAGAAACATGTAGGGGCAAGGGAGCCATTTGTGAATAAAAGTAACCCCCCACCCCCTTCCCCCAGACGTGATCGAGAACGTTGGTCTTGGGTCTGCAAATCTAAGGGGTGGATTATGAATGTCCTTCCACCCAAGTTCCTCCCGTTATCAAATGGCAGTTTGAGCGTCCACTTGGGAAATACCATACAATGGTTGTAATAAGTGTGTAAATTATAGGTTGGCTTCGATCCAGATGAGGAATCAGAACTAGAAGCTAGTCATCAGATGTCCATTGCAAGCGCTGCTACCGATGTTACAGTTCAGGTGAGTATAAAGTCGACAAGAACGGGGGTACTAAAACTTAAACAAACCTTTACAGACTACATCATTTGAAGATAGTGACGATCAAGCAGAAGCACCACCACCTCCGAAAACACCAGTCCTAGCAGAGACATTGAAGGAAGAGGACGAAGCCGATTCAGAAGATGAAGAGGATTATACCGATAGTGAGATGGAAGAATTGGCCGAAGAGGTAGAACGGTGAAGGTTATTGGTTATCTCTGCGGTACGAATGCCTTTCTATACAGGTCGAACAGAAAATCGTTGTGGAGCAGTCTGACAATCTGCCTCCACCGGATCCGGTGGTTGTGCAGCCACAGTACCTTGATGCGTTTGACCGTGGCCTCGTGAAACGACAGAGCAAAGGAAAATACCAGGTATGCTTAAACATGCACAAGGTAGCCTTCATCTTCGTTATATTTTTGACTTGATTTAAATTTGTTATGCCGAATAGTCTCAGATTTTTCATGCATGAAGTGCTGCTTCTTTGCTATGTGCCATCTGAAAGGTTTTTCCGAGAAATGCAAGTTGAATGCGTATTACACTTAATTGTCCTGCAAAGAAAAGTGGCTTGTTCACGTTGAAGGCACAGTTCACGATGATTTTGTTCCATCCAGATTATGAGAGGAGAACGAAGGAGAAGGTGGAGAACAGCGTGAAGGAGGCGAAGAAAGCATGCAAATCTCTGTTCCCAAAGTGATAAGAGGCTTCGAAAAAGAGTAAAAAAGGAGCTGTACGAGAATAAGGCCAGAAAAATGAAGTAGAAAGGGTGTTTGAACAGGTTATTGTGTGCCACTGCTTACGTGTGGGACCTGGTGCGATTAGCTGACTGCAGTAGGCAAAATGTCCTTCACTAATAAGCATAAGTTAACAAAAACACTAACAGCAATAACAACCCACTTTTTTCTCATCCTCTCAAGCTAAAAAACTATATAAAGGACCACAGCAGCCAAAAGATCAACAGAGAATAACAGAATATTAGTAAAACATGACCTCACCACCCGGCGATCAGTTGATTGCATGACGGGTCCTGGTGCGAATAGCGCATTCTGTATCACCTCAACACTCGGATTGAGTTTTTTTTTTGAGACAGCGTCCTTTGTGTTACCCTTGTGTTACCCTTGGGGATTTTAAAGGGTCCTTTTACGAGAAAATGGTCCTCGTTTGCGGGATAGGAAAGCAGGATCGCTCTCATCATACGAGTAATGAGTGATTGGTCCATGGAACTAGTACGACTTGTCTGCAGTTGGTCTCAAGACATGGGTCTTGGCCAGGGAGTCATTTGCGCAAGAGGGGAATCATATTTACCAACAATATTCCAATTTTAGGCCATCAACACATTCACACATGCGAAGTATCTGGCTTCATAGCGTTCCCTGCTCATCTATATAGGATCCCAAGCAATACATTTACACGAATTTTCTAACTTTCCAATTCAGAATCTCATTTTTATTTTTAAGCATAAGCGAGCCCAGCAGCGACTGCATGAAGAGAAGAAGAAGACCCCTGTTGAAGCATGTTATTTTCTTCTTTCACCTTATTCTTTTCACTTTTCTGTGCGTCTGCATGTAAACTGAAATAACATAGCTATTCATAGCTGTGCTCTACTTTCTGTCACTTTGCCAATCCTGCTAGTTTTTGAGCTTACGAAAGAAATACGCGAGCATCTTTGCCATAAAGCGCGACATTCGGCCACCGCAAACATTGTAAACAAGAATTTCCATTAGGGACACTTGTCAGAAGAAGGTTATTCTTCATTTTAGCACAGCCGCGTTGATATGTACGGTCGTGGCGTATCGATGGAATGCGAGTCGCCCACGCTCCCCCGGAAACCCCTCGGGGGACCGCAGCCCACAACCGAGCAATCACCTTTTCTATTTGACAAAGTACGCCCGCACGATTAATTAATTTAACTTTTTCTTCGCATCAATAGCTTCCTCCTCTCTAACATTTTCCTAGCTTGAAGAACTCGTGCTTTCTGTCTGTTTCACAGTACAAAATATCTGAAGAGCATGGCTTTTGTGAATATTTTTTTCTGGGCATATTCTGATATATTTCAGGCGAAAAAGATCATCATGCAGTATCCAGGACGCCCAGATTTATCCGAACTAGAAGATGGACTGCTGAAGAAAAAGTAGGTTGCAATGCTTGTTGAAGAAATCCATAAAATGTCTGCTCTTGTGCAGGAAGGATTGGTTGAAGACACAGGACCCTGACCAGCAAGGTGGTGGCAGTGATAACAGTATCACACCCACACCAAGGTACGCGCTTTTGGCAAACAACTGCTTGTTTGTGTTCCGCTATCATACAGGCAAAGCGTTTAGTTTCGAATAATATGAGCGGAAATTCCTAGCGCGAAAGTAGTCAAAAATAAGATAAAAGTCACTGAACTGCAGTTTATTTACTATCGTATGATATTGACTCGAAGAAATTTTCTACTGTTTAGCTGCGTTGGCTCACTACCACCACGAACGCCACCACCAATGGGAGACGAACCCGACGAGGGAGCAACACATAGCGGGGAGGAAGAGGTAGGTTTCTGTCAATCCTTTGTCAACAAAAAATAGGGTTCTGCAAGGGGTCGTGCAGAGAACACAACTACTGCTAAGGAATTCCAAATGTTGCTTTGTAGACTGAACGGATTTGTATCACAGTAGCACACAGTTTCAGCAGAATTCAGTTCAACTTAATAACACGTCTCAAACTTGAGACGTTTCTTGTCTAGTCCTGTATCATGAAGACGCACAAGTTTTTGGATCCAAATGATCCAGCTTCAACCAACCTCACTTCCGTAAACGTCCGTCCCATCATAAGCTGCGTGGGCGATCCTACTGCCCATATTGCATAGTTCCATAATACCATATTGCGGCTTCTCAAGTTCATACTCTCTTCATCTCTACAAGCACCCAAACGTTCTTGCATCATCTTGGTGCTCTGCGCCCCACTAGATCGTGTGTCATCTAATGCTTCAATGGAGAAGCTCTCTAGAATGTCAGCAATGCGTCTGCCAGGAAAACGTGGACAAGCTTCTTAGTCAGCACCAAAGCGATACCAGTAGGCGAGAACTGTGTACATCCCAAATGATGGAATTGTGAAGAAGTATCTCAGCTGTGACACTTTCAAGCGATCGTTAAAGGTGTTTTGCACAGGCTACAGGCTTATAGGGCTGCGACTGGCATCTGTTTGGCTGTGGCATTTGTGGCCAATATACATAGAGGCTCCTGTACTGGAATACCTGTTCCTACTTTACTTGAGGTACATATGTATATTGATGATTGCTCCATAGTATGTGCGACACAGGGAGAAATACATGGATGTTTGTTTTGGCCTACTGAACTCATGATCAGAGTGCAACAAGTTAAAACGGGAAATCGACCGCGAATTGGTTTCCTCCCTTTTGAACGCGTCAGTGTGGTTACGGGGCGATATAATTGCTACGAAAAGGTGCAGGAAGCCAAGCTATATATAATTGTCTATTATCACTCAGCTCATCCTTCTTACATAAAGTGAGCGGTGGTAAGAATATGTTCAACACTTCAAGAAGATTCACACTGGGAGGGTGAGCGAAAAGAATCAACTATAAAATGGCATGCGATATTGCTCAGATGAATGGCTACAGCAACTAACGTGTCAGCTGCAAGAACAGCTTCTTCTGGCGACATGCTTCTCAGACATGGTGGTACCTCTACTTATGGAGATTCCTTTTGTACTACCATTCACTCTGATAAAGTCAGCGCCACCATCAAAATTTATCTCAAGAGAGCGGGTCTGGAAGATTCAGTAGTCATTGTAAATGTACTACCCTCCAATCTGATGAGGCGCCTGGTGCGGAACAGGCTAAACTTTAGTACTTCCTACGCGCAACATCGATCTGTGTGGTCCGAGGGTTGGTCTACAAACTTGCCTGCCGTGATTGTGGTGATGAGTATGTCGGCAAAACGACAAGATCACTCCACGTGAGGATTAAAGAACTTAGGCAATTAAGAATTAAGGCCCTAGGCGATTGAAGTGCCTAGGGCCTTAGGGAGTCGCCGAGTCTGAAAGCAGAACGGAGGCGTTCTGAAGTAATCGTGGAAGTCGTGGCACAGGAGTCGCAGTTATACACACGTACAAACCGAGACATTTTGGATACAAATCACCGATCCAATAATGAATTTCAGGGAAGAATGGCTCGCATCACTGCGGCCTTATATGAAGTTGGCCTTTCCGCAGAGACTTTAGTGAAGTCCTGCCATAGCTGAAACTAATGGGTTGGTACCATCGTGAGTGGTTCTCCTTTCAATCACTTGCGTGCTCTGGTGTCTCGAACTTCAGTGGGACACGGGAGACGTTCGGTCGGCTAGTCGCAGATTGTTACGATCCTTTTGGGCCCTGGATAAGGCGATTTCGCCGTAACAGTTAGAATAATAAGGTTTATATACACTTTTTGTGAAGGGTTCAAGGACACCACTTAGTAATAGAGCCATCATCAACTACCTTCTATCGTTCCTGTTACAGGCTGCAAGGCAAGTGTCTGTGATGGAGTCGTGCTTAAAGAACACTTGAGAGTCACAGAATGCAGTCTTTCGATTTTTTGTTGACTTAAAATCATTTTCATAAAGGAATACATTTTTGGCTGCTACCCAAGCTGCTCCAATTTATGAAATTGTTTTCGTACAAATTGTAACTTTCCTTTGCAGGGAAGCAATGCATGTTCTGAAAAAGAGTCGTCTGAGGAGGAATCTGACACGGAAATCCAATACCGACAACCTCGTGGTTCACTGATTGGAGAGGTCAGACGGGACGGAGGTATTCTCTTGCCATTTTTCCGCTCTTTTTCCGGTATATAGGCCCTGAAAGAGGTTCTTCTTGAAGTCCGATGTTTTTGCGTCTCACACGAAAGTGCTGCAGAATAACAGTGTAACCCCCAATTCATTAGCTATTACCCAATTTCGCAGCGCAGCATGTGGCGATGCCTAGATATCCCTTCTCACGACGTGCCTAGCTCTTCACCTCCGTGATTTGATGTCCTCTTACGTCGTTAGCCCCTCTGCTCAGAAATCAATCTTTTTAGTTTGTGGTGATTTCATGGACGGTATGCACTGAGTTTCTTAGTTGAAGATTTTGTAGTAGTTGGTTATTATCGAATATAAAGGAGGACGGGTCAATTGCTTTCCATTCAAATAGCGAATATACATATATTGCCTTTTTGGGCCTGTTTTTGTT